CCAGAGTTCAGGCCCCACGACCAGACCACCCCCCCAAAAAAAAAGTTTAAGTATGTAGCAAATGGTATGAGTATGGAGCTTATGAGTAAAGATAGTATAAAATTAAGTTAGCTGTGCTATACAGAGTCAGTATTGGTGCAATGATGTGGAAGATTTTTTTATGTCTATCTGTATGGTGGGGAGAAAGGTTGGGCCTACTGCAATCTAGATGCTGGTTTAGTTAGAGCAGCCAGGTAGACTCACTGGCAGAGGTAGTTTTCTGAAATCACCGGGGACTGGACTTCTCATTAAGCAAGGTAGCTTTTGTATTAGGGAAAGTTTGGCCTGGGTTAGAAGAGTCTGAGGGACTGTTGGTCTCCATGGATGACGACCCTGATTTCAGCTATTGCTGCCCCCCTGGTTCTTATCCTCCTGATGTTACTGGTTGGCCCTTGTGTTTTAAATGCATTAATGTCATTCATGCAGAAGAGAGTTGGGACCATAAAATTAATGGTAATGCAGACCCAATACAACTCTCTCTCCCTATGGAGGAACTGAGTCAATGATTTGACTAAGGAACAAGTCAAAGGGGGGACCTGAGATGAGGCCCCAGCTGGTATTATTCCATTTTGAACTTTGCCTTTGTTTTAAGGATTTTAGACTTGATGGGCCTAGTTCCCAGAATGAAAAAAATGCATCTGGTCCCCCTCCCTTAACCCAGACTTGATTGTTCAGTTAAGGACTGACCCATAAAACAGATAAGTTGTAATCTGGCTCCAATTGGTGACACCACGTGCTTACGGTAAACCCTGCCTTTTGCACACGCTTACGGTAAACTCCACCTAGTGGCCACCTGTGTGTGGTCTGGTATGACTGCACAATCCTTTGTGTGGTAAGATCCCATTGGTCACCTGCTCATGACCAAGCTTGACCTCATGGATTTTGCCTTTAAAACCAAAGAATGGGGGCCGCTCAGGTCGCAGTATCAGCTCCCGAGCCTGTGCTGCGGCCCTGACCGGTCAGTGTAGGAACCTTCTCAATAAAGTTGCTTCTTTGTTAAAAAAAAGAAAAGAAGAGAAAAGAAAAGAAAATGTTGCTGTTATGGCTTCTCTTTCAATTTGTAAATATTTAATGGAAGATTTTACATTTAGTCAAAAGATCTATTGGTTTATAGTGAGGTGTTTGGTTTATTTTGTTTTTGTTTTGGCAGGGACTACTGCTTGCTCGTCAGGCATTCTACCACTTGAGCCATGTTCCTAGACCCTTTGTGCATTGGATATTCCCAAAGTAGGGTCTTGTTTTGAGCCCAGACCAGCCTTGGCTTCAATTTTCCTCCTTGTATTTTCCCATGTCACTGGGGATGAGAATGGTACAATGCCCAGCCATTGGATGATATGGAACCTTGTAAATTTTTATGCTCAGGCTAGCCTTGAACCTCAATCTCTCAATCTCTACCTCCCAAGTAGGTAGAATTATAGGCTTGAATCTGTAATTCTTTCTTTTTCCATCCCCCATCTCTTCCTTCCCTTCCCTCCCTCCCTCCCTTTCTTTCTTCCTTCCTTCCTTTTGCAACAATACTGAGGTTTGAATTTAGGGACTTGCCTTTGCTAAGCAGCACTCTATCAAAAGCCACACTCCAACTTAGTTTTCTTTTGCAGTACTGTCTTTGTCAGCTTTGGATATCATGATAACATTCACCTCATATAATGGATAATAAGGGCCTTTGTCTTCAGGAAGGAATTGTACAAAATTGTCTGTTTTTCTTTGTGTACTTGAAAGAATTATCCCGTGAAACTATATGGGTCTAATGAATTCTCTTTTGCAAGAATATCTATTTTAGATACTCTTTAGATCTTGGCTTACACTTGTAATCCTAGTACTCAGAAGGCTGAGATAATCAGGAGATTATTGTTCCGAGAGGGCCAGGCAAAAAGTTCTTGAGAGACTCCATCTCAACAGAAAAAGTTAGGTATAGTGTCATGTGCCTGTCATCACAGATATGGAAGTAAACACAAATAGAAGCATTGTATGTAGGCTGGCCTAGGCAAAAACAAAGACTACAAATCAAAAGCAACTAGAGCTAAAAGGACTAGAGGCATGTCTCAAGTGGTAGAGTGCCTACCTGCCTTGCAATGCCCCAAATTCAGACTCCAGGACTTCTATATTTATGTGATATATGTGTGTTATTGTTGTTATTGTCAGTTGTGGGGCTTGAACTCAGGGCCTGGGTGCTGTCCCTGAGCTCTTTTGCTCAAAGCCTTGAGCAAAAGAGTGCTCTACCACTTTGAGCCACAGCTCCACTTCTGGAATTTGAGTGGTTAATTGGAGATAAAAGTCTCACAGAGACTTTGCTGTGCAGGCTGGCTTCAAACCATGATCCTCAGATCTCAGCCTCCTTGATAGCTAGGATAACAAGCATGAGCCACTGGCACCCAGTTTATTTATGTAATCTTAATCTCAATCTCCTTGTCCACCAATCATAGGCATATTTTGACCAGGTTATAGAATCTAGAGCTACATAAACCCTTGAAAATCACTACCTACCACATCCCTGTTCACATATGAAGAAACTGGGGCTTGCAGATAGGGGTGATGACTTGCTGGTGAGCAGCAGCAATGGGAAGCTCCTATGGTTCAGTGTGCTCATCAGCTCTCTTTGCTGCCAAAGTAAACAGTGGTAGCTTAAGAAACAGAGACATCTTCAGGCTAATGCATTAATTCCTCACTTGCTCTCTCATAAGAGACAAAATGCTTCTCTATGTACAATGTCACACAAGTTTTCCTTCAGTCCCTTCTAACACAGAGTAAAAACCAGAAAGGGCAGAGGATAAAAATAGAGCTAGCAACCTAGAATCAAAGGAGCAGAGGGACAAAGTTTTGGTAACTCAAATCTGCTAAGAAAGAGAGTTGATCATCTTGAAGACCAGATCCTTCTGTTGGGCTGTTGGCACTTGGATAAAAGACTCCACTGAAGGGGGCAGAAAACAAGTAAGCAGCTCTTTCTTAGCAAAGAGGAGGGAGTCAAGTCTTTTGATTTACACCCTGTGCTTTCTTTTTTTTGGGGGGGGGTCTGGTCATGGGGCCTGAACTCTGGGCCTGGACGCTGTCCCTCAGCTCTTCCGCTCAAGGCTAGCGCTCTACCACTTGAGCCACAGCGCCACTTCC